GTACAGGGAGTGTAGGGGAGATACATAGTTACATAGCCTAAAAGAGACTTGCATCCATCAAGTTCAGCTTTCCTCACATATATGTTTTTGCTGTTGATCCAAAAGAAGGCAAAAAAAAAACCTAGTCTGCAGCGATTCTAATTTTGCAACAAACTAGGAAAAAATTCCTTCTTGACCCCAAAATAGCAGTCAGATGTCTCCTTGGATCAAGCAGCTATTACCCCACTAATTAGAAATTATATCCCTGTATGTTATGTTATTGCAAGTATTTATCCAACTGCAGTTTAAACATCTGTATGGACTCTGATAAAACCACCTCTTCAGGCAGAGAATTCCATATCCTTATTGTTCTTACTTTAAAAAAAAACAACTTTTCTTTGCCTTAGATTAAATCTTCTTTCTTCCAGCCTAAAAAAGTGACCTTGGGTCCTATGTTTATTATTATTATTGCCATTTATATAGCGCCAACAGATTCCGCAGCGCTCTACAATATTATGAAAGGGGGGATTTCACAATAAATAGGACAATTACAAGAAAACTTACAGGACGAAAGGTTGAAGAGGACCGTGTTATAACAAGTTTACAGTCCTGTTTATGAATAGATTTCCAGATACTGGTTTGTTCTGGCCCCCGAATATATTAGTATAATGTTATCTTATCCCCTCTGAGGCGTGGTTTTTCCAAAACTAAACAGATTTACATTTTTTAACCTTTCTTCGTAACTAAAATGTTCCATTCCTTTTATCAATTTTGTAGCTCGTCTCTGCACTTTTTCAAGTGCCATGATATCTTTCTTTAGAACAGGTGCCCAAAATTGCACAGCATATTCAAGGTGTGGTCTTACCAGCGATTTATAAAGAGGCAAAATTAAATTTTCATCCCAAGAATTTATGCCCCTGTTTATACATGACAAAACCATACTGGCCTTAGCAACAGCAGACTGACATTGCATATTAGTGCCTAATTTGTTGTCTATAACAATTCCTAAATCCTTCTCGTGAGTATCTCCCTGGACTGAAAAGGAAGGGAGGGCATGACTGCAGGCCAGCAGTAAGGAGGGGTGGCTATACTGGATACTTTGTTGCAATATGGAATATAAAGCAGGACAGATGAGGGGCCTTACCAGTTGCTCAGTAAATTTAGGATTGCGAACTTGCTAATTTCCCACCCACCCTCCCTATGGTGTTTTTTGACTGTGTATTGCGTTTGTTTTGGTATGTTTCTTGGTTCTGGTTTGTTCTTTCTTCTCGTTGTCACAGCTGCAGCGGTGTTCCTGGCCAGCGCATTGGAAATTGAATTAAATGGATGAGTCAACTTGGGGAGTCGCAGCCTGCCGAGGGCTGATGGCGGTAGGCAGGCTGATATGAACTCATGGACAAATAAGTGGTATCTGCCTGTTGGGAGAAGTCTCTCAACAGCTGGCAGTTGGATGGAAAGCTGGTCTGTGTCAAATAATTAATAAAGCTGTGGTCGTTGCCCTTACCCATAACTCTGGTGTAGTGTTATTATTTACGGAGGGCAACGGGGGGGGGGAGGGTTGGGGGGGTGTTTTTCTCTGGATCAGCAGTCATGTTATCCCTAATTCACTACCATTTAGGGTGCAAGTTGATCGTGCATTCTTTACCCCGTAGTGCATAACTTTGCATTTCTCTACATTAAATTTCATCTGCCATTTTAGTGCCCAGTCCCCCAATCTATCCAAATCCCTCTGCAGCAAAGCAATATCCTGCTCACATTTTATTACTTTACAAAGTTTTGTGTCATCTGCAAACATTGATACATGGCTTTCAATGCCAATTTCAAGATCATTGATAAATATGTTAAATAGAAGCGGTCCCTAAACAGAACACTGAGGGACACCACTTACCACTTTTGTCCAGCTTAAAGATTTTCCATTAATGACAACTCGTTGTACTCTATCCTTAAGCCAATGTTCTACCCAGGAACAAGAATATTCATCTAGACCAATTTCTTTTTGTTTGAAGACTAACCTAGTGTGAGGAACCGTATCAAATGCCTTTGCAAAATCATACCACCACCATTTGTTATATGTATGCATGACTTGGCTATTCCTTCTGTCCTCCATGCTCCTGGTAACGCTGCGGCCTCCACTCACATGGTGAGGTGAAAAGAAAGGAACAGGACTTATTAAGGCTCACATCTCTGGTCTGTACAGAGGCAGAACGTCTGGAGAATGTATAATATATATATATATATATATATATATATA